CATATCGGTTGAATACTTCTTTTAAATGTGAAGTGAAGCAACCTTTACTTCTCCGAAAATCGTCTTCATTATCTTAGTTTCTATCTCCTGCATTCACAATGACCGCTAAACAAATCAAATACAAGCTCTTAGGTAAACTTCTCACAAAAGTAGAAAAAAATTCCACGCGCCGCCATCTTTGTTTTGAATTTTGATCTTTTGATCTCGCGCTTCTTTCGTACGTTTCTCTCGCGCGCGTCACGCAAGAGTGACCTGTTCCCCGCGCGAGGAAACTGGTACGAGCCACCTTAAGTGTTTTTAATTTTCGTGGCCCGAGAAAACACGAAACTAAAACCCAGTGAACTGTGAAATTTTTGCTTTTCGCGATACTTGAATCTTAGATATGTCTATCCCATTTTTCGTGTTGCTTTATTTCAAAATTTTTGTGTACCTGATATGTGTGCAGGACTACCTTTGACTTAATGGCTTGTGTGGTTCTCATTGTATAAGATTTGCCACAATACCTTGCCTCGATGAGTGAAAAAGTTGAAAACTGAATTGGGAAAGCGGTGAGTCTTTACCTAAGCTGAATTTGATGAGTTCCTTTTGCAAGTCGACTGTCCTCCGCGGGAAACACTGCGCAACGTAGTAGACGAGACTTAGACTGGTCTGTGTCATCACATGATATCCACACCTTCTAAATAATGCAACGAAATCACATATAACTCTAGCTGAAAGTCGCTCTTTCGACTGTCGCACACACACACTTTATATTTCCAGTACGTTGTCACACAGATTTGCAAAAAGGTTAATTTACGAGAACCAGGCATAAACTCGCTGAGATACTTTTAAGCCACGCGGGATTTGAATAAACTCGCATTTAATCGTCATCCAAACTGAAATCAGGCTAAAACACAAGCAGATGTATTCTATGAACCGGCTCCCCGATGCACGCGATGGTGGATGGAGCAAAAAAGCGCGGGAAGAGGGAGAAGAGAGAGGTTTGGAGATGAAGAACACTGAGATGAGACCGTGCATACAGTTCTGCTCTTTATATCTCCAGGCCACTCAAGCATCACCATCTTAAAGAAATTTTCTTTGTAGTCACCTCACTTTCGTCGGTTTCTTCTCACTCAAAGTTTCTACCTAGTGCCTTTTGGTGAAACAAAGTTTGTCAGGCCTTGGTGTCAAATTTCCACGCGAAATGGATTCTGGTGGTGGCTCCAGATCTGGCAGAGCAGAGCCTGCGCGAAACTCAGGTCTGAACTCCTGGAGAAGGCCAGCTAGAAAAAGAAAAAACTCTATTCTAGCCAAGGACTGACCCACACATCCACGGGGACCGCCACCAAATGGAATGAAACTAAAGGTGGCTGGGCAAACGAAGTTTCCATCGTCGTCTAGGAACTGCATCGGGTCAAATGTGTTTTGGGTCGTGATGAATAGCTCTAAGGTCGACAATCACCTGAGAATTCTCTGGGATGTCGTACTTTCCAGGTGTTGTATCGCTTCGCGCCCGATGAGGGATGATAAAGTAGACAAATGAGCTATGACGCATGATCTCCATAGTGGTAGCCTCCAAATATGGTAAACTGCTTTTGTCCTGTAAGCGAAGCAGACGGTCAAAGCCAATGAAGTTATCAAGCTGCTGGTGTATCTTCACTTGGACATCTGGGAAGGACGCCAAATAAAGAAGCGACCAAGTCAAAAACTTTGTGGTTGTATCTGTGCCAGCAACAGTGAGATCCGCCAGCGTTTCCATGATCAACTTTACGTCTAGCATGCCTCTCACACTGGAATCTTCCATTTCTGCCTCTTGCTTTGCCCTAATAAGGGCATCTGTGATGTCCCGGATGGTGCCCTCTTCGTACGTTGAAGCAGAACGACTGTTAAATCCACTCTCCACTCATCGAGGAAATGCGATCGATCCCAAAGATGACATCAGCCTAATGGTTTTAAACGTGATTTGCGCAGTTATTTATGGAGAAAATTATGCGCTTGAAGACGAAGAATTCCAGCGAATTATTAAGTATCACGATCACTTCATCTGTCTTTTCAAAGGTTTTAATATTCTTGAAATACTTCCATGGCTGCGTTTTTCCCAATTGACGAGGGACGAATCTATAGAGGGGCAAAAGAGTTAAGAGACGCAGTCTTAGTTACCAAGTACATTGTACTGCGAACGCAAAAAGAAGTTTGAGGAAAGTGCGAACAGACTAGACGAAAATATCCAGGATCTGACCGATGCGTTCTTAAAAGCTTTCTACGAAGCACAAGAAGAAGATAGAAAAGTTTCACAGGTATTGACGGAAGACCACCTGGTAATGATAACGAATGACATGTTCATAAAAAATTAACGACTTTTATTAAACTGGATTATTGAATATCCCTAAGAACTAATCTCTGTAAATATCAAACAACTTGGGAAAAAAATACATTTCCACAACTCCACCCCCCCCCCTGACATTTTGCGTGCAGTTAGACACTCAAGGGAATTTGCATAAAATACAGAGTTTTCAATGGATTGATTAAATTGACCCAAAGTTTCGTTTCATTGTCTCTCAGTCACAGACAATTTATAGGGACTGGCTGTCAAGACTGCGCGTGGTATGGGGTCCACTGGCGGTTCCAAATCTGGCTGGGAGGAGTCTGGAGGAAACTCAAATTTAAAACGCTGAAGAAGGCCAGCTAGAAATAAAAAAGACTCTATCCTAGCCAAGGACTGACCCACACAACCGCGAGGACCGCCACCAAATGGGATGAAACTGAAAGTGGCTGGACAAATGAAGTTACCTTCCACGTCCAAGAACCGCGTTGGGTCAAATGCGTCTGGTTCCTTCCAATGCTTCGGATCGTGATGAATAGCTCTGAGATCGACAAACACTAGGGAATTTTCGGGGATGTCGTGATTCCCGAGGGTTGTGTTGCTTCGCACTCGATGAGGGACGCTCACGTTGGTAAAAGAGCTATGACGTATGATCTCCGAGATGGTGGCCTCCAAATATGGCAAACTGCTTCTATCCTGGAAGCAAGGCAGACGGTCGCGGCCTATGACGTCATCAAGCTGCTGATGTATCTTCGTTTGGATATCTGGGTAGGATGCCAAATAAAGAAGTGACCAAGTTAAAAACTCTGTGGTTGTATCTGTCCCAGCGACAGCGAGATCTCCCAGCGTTTCCATAATCAAATTTTCATTCAACATACCCCTCACTCTGGAATCTTCCATTTCCGCCTGGTGCTTTGCCGTAATAAGGGCATCTGTGATGTCCCGGATGACACCCTCTTTATACGTGTGTTTATGCTCTTGGAAAAAAGGCCAGAGAAGTTTCTCTTTCAGGTCGTAGCAACTTTTGAGGCGCTTGTGAATGCTCAGCGGAAGATATTTCATGAATGGAAATACTTCAAGCAACGCACCAGTTCCAAGGAGACGCATACATTCTTCGTTCAACCTTTGGAATTCTTCCAGATGCTCGTCCTCGGTCGAGAAGTGCGTGTCAAAAAGGCACGAGAATATCACATTTGTCACTCCGAGAGCGAGACGTTTCTTTGGATAGAAAGGGAAACCTTGTAACTCTCTGAAATAACCGCACATCTCACACACCTCACGCTGAACTTTTTCCTCCAAGTTTTGAACGCCACTTCCAAACATTCGAAGAGCTGAATGGGTGATCTTTCTTAGTAGCTTCCAGCGCGGTCCATAGTCACCGAAAACGATGGCTCCTCCTTTGGGCTGTAGAGCTTCATAGATAAACAGTTTCGGCCTTCCTGCGAAGATGTTTCCTTTCCGAATAAGGGCATCCCATGCCAACTCAATATCAGTAACAACAAATATCTTTTGCCCCATCACTGTCATCATGTAGATCTCGCCATATTGTCTCGCGAACTTTCGCATGGTCACGTGGTTAAATTTTGCCATGTCTAGAAGGTTGCCGATTAGAGGTAACTGGCGCGGTCCTGGAGGATAGCGGTACTTTCGCTCTGACCAGCGGCGCACCACAAAAAGATACACCACAGTGGAAATGGCGACGAGAATCAATGCTTCCCAATACATTGGCTATAGGGCTAGCTCAGCTGAAATTGAAATATTTTCACTTTACCATCTAATGTGATTATTGGGGTTCCTCCCCAATAATAGGCTAATGGAGATGTGTCGCTGGATGGGGTCGCATTTTCACGACTGGATTGACTACAATGAGGATGCAATTTCAAAAGAGTAAGTAAAACGAGTTTCACATTTTTGGGATTTTGGGGGTAAAAAAGTCCTAGCAGGTGGGGATTTCAAATTGGGAAGATCTGCCGTTAAAAAGTTGTTACCATGTCACCAAAATAAACTGACTGATTGGCTACGGTATTAGCTATAATGGGGGAGGGGGGGTGGCTCTGGGAGGCCAGTGGTATATAACCAGCAAAAGAGATAGTCAAAAACTGCTTGTGGTAAAAGTACAATTTTTACAGCATTCAAAAGAACTAGAGGTTGTATAATAACGCAGCTCACATATTTATGAGCATCCTGTTCCACGTCCACAGGAGAAAGATGATTCAAGAATATATTGTCTAACCAATATTCCTCACCTCGCAGTTGAAGAGAAGAGTCTCGTGTAAACAGAATTGTGTCGTCTGCTTGCTCACGTTTACTCAATCAGTTTCCGAGTTACTACCTCAAGGCGCAGAGTTCAGGGTTTCGACATCCAAGTTCTACTCACATACATACAATGGTAGCTTGCTCCACGTGATCATGGGGACATACGTGACTTCCTTTCTAGTAAACAATGAAATTGAAACCTGGGCATAACTTGATGTAGCATTCACAAATCCATGTCCTGTGGAACCACAGGCATCCCAAGCTCACGCTTCGTGAAACTGCGCAAAAATTACCACCTATTTCTTCTTGAAAGCGACAAATTTTCCGAACTTTTATTGTGGTAATAGTAGTAGTCAGTGGTCGCGTAATTTCTTCACAAGGAAAAAAACAACACTTCTTATTTTACAAAGTAAAAGGTTTAAAAGTAGTAAAAAAAAAAAGAAACAAATTGTGAAAAATTTAGAAACAGTTATGAACTTACATGCCTCTTAGTATTTAAAAATTAGACGATTAACATAAGAATCTTTTAAAACGGTCTGTATCTAACAAATGGTAAACACCACAGCGTACACTATTGAGTTATGGATGCACTTGGGAGGTTGCTAAGCACGAAAGAAGCGTAAGAGTCGCTCGAGGCGATAGCCGAGAGCGACTCTAGCTTCTTAAGTGCTTAGCAAACCTCCCAAGTGCATCCATAACTCAATAGTGTACGCTGTGGTGTTTACCATTTGTTTTATAACATAACATTGATACATTGTAGCTAAAGAGTTCCCTTTTATTTAACAATCCTACGTGACCAGAAAAAAACAAGCGCGCGCGGAAAAATAGTCTTTGCATTTGTTCACGCCAGCAGCGTACACCTATGGGCAAATGGGGGACGCTAAATTGACCAATCAGAGCGCGCCCTTTACTTTGGTTATGTCATAATAACTTTTGGGGAACGGCATGATTTGTTCCTAAAATTATTATTCGTGTCATTTTGCATTAAAGCTCGGCGCTCTGTGCTTATTTGGAAATGTGTCACTTAGAGGCTTGTTGCGAGCTTCCGAACACGAAATTTAACAATATTCCGTGTCCGGCAGTCGAAAGTTTTCCTCAATGTTCGGGCTTACTGCACAATTAGGCTCGAATAATACTATGCTGGGCATAGCTGTTTTTGTTTAGGTTGCTGTAAATTCACGGGTATGCTTACTGCCTTCACAAATACGGATCGAGGTACAATTCTTTCATTTACCGCAAGCTTCCGGACACGAATTAAAAAAATACTCTGTGTCCGGCAGTCGAAAGTACTCCTCAATTTTAGGTTTTTCTTCTCGATGAGCTCAAAACATGATGCTGTTATTGTTTACGTTGTTAATACATTCACGATTGCCGCTTATGTTTTTCACAAATGTAAATGGTAATTGCTTTTTACTCGATCGGTTCGAATCATTCCATCCTAAGCAATTGATTTATCGTTACCACTGAACTATACAAGATTTGCGATTATCGCTATTTCGCTGTTCGTGTAAAAAAAAAAAGGGACAAATTTCGTCCCGGGCGTATATTTGACCTTGTTGTAGATTTTTAGAGCGTGATTTGGTAGCAAATGCTAAATAATGCAACAATTATCGAACAACTTTTCTCACGCTTACCTTTCACGAAGCTGAATTGGAAACGAAAACTCTCGATTTGGGCCGATTTCTCCTTAGTCTGGGATGATTGCGTAGTAGCATGCGAGGTACGAGGAAATAATTAGATATTTTTGTTTTACATTGCATTTATCGATCACGCGTTGGTCATGTCGCACGCACTAAAAGGATGCATAAATAATTACTCTTTTGCCCCTTTGACCTCACAGCGCAAACAAGTTACGATAAGAACGCGCAATGAATTGCACCCCTCCCCCCCCCACATATTAAGTGGTTGCCGTGTGATAACAATGGGCCAATCAACAGTTGACCTGTATACTTAGTTGCTAAGCCTTTAATTTTGGAGTGAGGCTGCTGGTGACGTTGTTGTGATAGAGATCAGTATCTAATGAATTACATTTGAAAACGTTTGTATAATAACAAGGTCACCCTTAGCCTCACTCCTGTTCAAAGGCTCGGCAACCCAGCACGCCTCTGCAATGAATATTGTTGAGCGTAACACAACACTAATTAGGGTTGCGGCTGCGTGACTGAACACTAACTTACGTAATGATCTATACCATACACGGCCGAGGAAACCTACCGATTTGGAAAGAGCCAAAGGTGAGTTATATATTCTTTTCTTTAAATGTGATATCTCTGCTCAGAATTACTGCAAAGGTTATTGACTAACAACGAGAGAGAACAATTAACTGTTTCCATGCCCTCTAGGGTGACAAAGATCAATCAGTTATGAACACAAAATACGTTCATAGCCGCTTAGCGATGTGAATATTTTTTTATGACCCTGAGGTTGAACGTTCCCTCTATAACCTTTAGAAAAAATAGATACAAGCCGTTGAAAGAAATAATGGATATTTGAACACAGAGCTACTGAGAGAAGGTATGAGGTTCAGTGCTGTTTTGGATTTTCATCTCTAGGTACTAGTGAATAATGATCGCGTGTCGTTGCTGAAACAGATGAGGCGTTTTAAAGATCAAGCTGGGTAACTCTACGCGAAAGTGGTGCAAAATAGAAACAACTTGTGATGCTAAAGCAAACCGAAAAGGGCCTTTGATCTCATGAATGAACCTATTTTATTTATTATTGCGAATTGATACTAAAATTACAGCAAATATTGTGAGCGTGAGTTGTTAGAGCCGAAATTCTATTCATTGATTCGAGTGGAACGGTTTACGTCATTAGTAACTTGAATTGGTTGCCAGGGAAAAGTGCTCCAATCAGAGCCGAAGAGGGCGCTGGAGGTGTCAAGATCAAGATCCCTTGTCGATCTACGAAATGAAGCGTTTGTCATTCACAGCGAGTCTCGAAGTTATTGATCGTCTTGTCCTCACGAAAGTTTGGCCCTTGTACAGATCATCGCATATTGCACTGCAGAAGAAACCCTCTGTTACGTAACTGAATGAGTGAAAAAGATAAAACGATAAAATCTTGTGTTAAAAGAAAAGAACGAGAATATCTGCAAATGAAGAAAAGGCTAACGCAGATTATAGAAAAAAAAGTCAGGTCCTACGCGAGAGTTTGAACCAATGCATACTCAGTCTGTTGTATGCAGGTCCCAAAAACGTTCACTTTATACTCAACTTAGATCTTTATTCATTATTGTTTTTTATTGTTCTCATTTGTCTTGCAGTTGCAACATGATCTTGGAAGCCACTATCTTCATTTCTCTCTTCACACTGGGATGGTGGTTGTTTCTTGCCCCTACAACGCCCAAAAATCTCCCTCCGGGTCCTCGTCCGTACCCTGTGATAGGCAATTTGACTCAGTTGGTAGGAAAACCGATTCACTTGGCCGTGACTGACCTCGCAAAGGAATATGGGAACATCTTCACGCTGTACTTACCGGGTGGTCAGCAGTGTATCCTAATCAATTCCATTGACTTGGCTCGCGAGGCCTTGCTAGTTAAGAAAGATGATTTCGCTGGGAGGCCCCGGACATTCATTGGAGATTACCTTACACGAGAGGCTAAAGACATTTTCTTTGCGGATTTCTCAAAGACCATGATTTTGCAACGGAAACTGGTTCACTCTGCTCTACGCATGTACGGAAGTGGTCTCAAACAGTTGGAGGAAAGGATCTGCGGTGAAGCAGAACGACTGTTAGATCGACTCTCCGCTCATCAAGGAAATGCGATCGATCCCAGGGATGACATCAGTCTAATGGTTTTAAATGTGATTTGCGCAGTTACTTATGGAGAAAGTTATGCGCTCGAAGACGAAGAATTCCAGCGAATTATAAAGTATAACGATCACTTCATCCGCCTTTTCAAAGGTTTTAATATTCTCGAAATGCTTCCATGGCTGCGTTTTTTCCCAATTGAAGAGGGACGAATCCTTAGAGAGGCAAAAGAGTTAAGAGACGCAGTCTTAGATACCAAGTACTACGAACACAAAAAGAAGTTTGATGAAAGTGCGAACAGAAAAGACATAAATATCCAAGATCTGACCGATGCGCTCTTAAAAGCTTTCTACGAAGCACAAGAAGAAGACGGAGTTTCACAGGTATTGACGGAAGACCACCTGGTAATGATAATGAATGACGTATTCAACGCTGGCATTCAGTCCACTATCGCAACGTTGCTGTGGTTACTAGCTTACATGGTTAATTACCCTGATATCCAATCGCGCGTCCATGTAGAATTGGATGATATCATTGGTCGTGATAGAAAACCGCGACTCGAAGATCGAGGTCGTCTTCCTTATTTGGAGAGTACCGTGGCAGAAGTGCTGCGAATCGCAACCCCTACCCCTTTATCGATCCCTCACAAATCAACACGGGAAAGTTCCCTGGGGGGATATAACATCCCCAAGGATACAATGATGATGACGAATCTGTGGGCGATTCATCACGATCCAAAGGAATGGGAAGATCCGGATGTGTTCAAGCCTGAACGGTTTCTTGATGCGGGAGGTAACTCCTCAGTTTCAGGCCCCGAGGGTTATCGAAGTTACTTGCCATTCAGTGCCGGAAGAAGAGTGTGTTTAGGCGAGTCGCTGGCCAAGATAGAGCTGTTTCTAGTAGCTTCTAGGCTTCTGCACCAGTTCAAGTTCGAGCCAGCACCAGGGGCACCGCTTCCCGAACTTTCTGGTATCGTGGGGGTTGTGCTTGTTCCGAGTTCTTACAAAATCTGCATAAAGAACAGACACTAACTGCATGTTGCATGTTATAGTACGTACCTTGCTTGTAGTACGGCAAGACCAAATTTCGTGTAGCGTGGGTCATTATGCAAGAACTGTTATTTTTTTTTTTTACTAGACCTTAAAAGTCACTTTTAACAGAAAGACTTAGCATTACGCTAATTAGATGTTTACTTTTAGTACATGGAGTAATAAATTAACCTTTTAAACCCTGACATAAGTATGCCTATTCTCTAAACATGCAGTTCTCCCTACATCTCATATGATAATGACGTAGAGCCTTTGTATAGCAATCAAGTGCTTCTTTTTCTGGCGATAAGTATATCTTATTAGACGTTTTGTTGTGTCGTATCGCTGAGTATTTTTACGAGTTGTGCCGTATTTTGAAGAGCCCGTAGGGCGAGTCAAAATACAAATAACGAGTAAAAATACTCAGCGATACTACACAACAAAACGTCTAATAAGTTATTTATTATCCAACACGCCAAACTGTTATTTCAGTGCGGGCGAATTTCGCGGATATTTATTCACGGGGAGTGCGTGACAGAAGTATGCAAAGCGGAACGGATTTGGCGCGTTGTTGTGTTACTGTTTCCATTTTCTTCATTAAATGAAGAAATTTTCTGGTCGTCTAGCTGATTTTCTTCGTTCGATTCATCTAATGAACTTGGATCTATATTTGCCAGCCATTCTGACTCTTCGTAGTCGGAAATATGATTCAAATTGTCCACCATTTGTTTTGTTTTTTTTCGTAACTACAATCCAATTCTTCGCTTGCGCGATGCGAGAAAACCTGTTCTACCGGTACTCTACAATAGGCGAGTACAAATACCGCGTGATATTTGTACTCGTCTATGGCGTTATTTGTACTCGTCTAGGTGTAGTTGGATAATAATCTCCTTTATTCATAACGATAACGTTTGAATCCGCAGGGACATTGAAAGAATAGAATTGGATGCCTGTCACAGCTCTTCTGATGCTTGAGTACTGTGCAAACAAAGGTATTTAAATCCACCGGGTTAAAATAAAGTAAGATACTCCTCTTGGTAAACTTATACTGAACACAGTGCTATGTCTAAGTAGAGAGCATTCAGAACACACTTGACGAATATGAGTGTTCCAAAGATGAAACTCGAAATATAAAAAGCTTGGAAAAGAGTATGTCTCGTGGCAGATTCGTCAATAATTACGAGAAGTTCGTTGTAAGCTCCTCCAGATTGCTTGGCTAAGGGTAAAATATACTCTCTGATATCTTGAATGTAACTGATATACTCCTTTTTATTTTGAGAAAGATCATCCAGGAGGTCTTGGGCGTGATTAAGCTCTGATTTCGACAGGTCACGCAACAAGTTCCAATGACTAATAAAGTAATGAGACATAAAATGTTTGTCGTAAGCTTCCCTCACTTTGTTTATCATAAGTTCAAACAAGGCGCCTAAGCGGGGATCAGCGAGGTTATGGTAACCGAAGCCAGTATCTGTTTCGGCAAGCCAAAGGAATATTGTCTTCAAATAGTACGACGCTAAAATCTTCTTGTTTCCCAGCCTTGGTTTCAGGTGTTTCTTGTAAGCATACCTCAACATGATGTAACAGAGTTTTAAAGCGTGTTTGTCACTGTGATACTGGAGCAATGTTTTCTCTGCTTTAGAGAATGAAAACCTCCAATCTAAATGGGAATTTTCAGAGGAGCCTGATGGCTTGTATACCAAATGACACCCACCTCTGGCAATTTTTTGTATCGTACCAGTACTTAGAAGCCGGAAGTCTCTGCTTTCTCGATTCAACCATTCTACTGCACTTCGAGGCCAACCAGAGAAACTCAAAGCGACAGCAATGTCCATGACTCTCATGTAGCCATACCTTCGTGCATTTATTTCTTTTGCTCTCAATGTTATAGCCGGTTCATTCTGTACAACGTCGAAGTCGCCATCATTAAAATTCTCTTGCGTGACTCGGAGGAAATGACTGTAAATTGCACTCGCACTTACAAATTGCTGATTCGCTTTCTTCAGAATTTGAAGCAAGTTTGATCCAGAGTTTTTCATCCGTTGTAATAATTCGTCGATTTGCACCCAAACAAACCCCACAGGGGTACGGCTAACGTCAATGTCGTCTTCGTGAACACTTAGAATCGTTGGTGAAACCATGATATCAATGTCTTGTTCGCTTCCTGTCACATCAACTGAGAAGAAGCCATAACCTTCCATAACACTACCACATTTCTCGATCGAGTACAAATCGTCATCTTTTCCCATCACCGACGGGAGTAAATCGAAATCTTCTCGGTAAAGATTCGTCGCCAGTTGCTTTTGAATGAATTCATCGACTTTAGAAGTCTTTCTGAGGCGGCTGTTCAATGGATGTTCTGTAAATCGTTTGCACACGAGTAACGCGATAAAGATGCATGCTCCGCTGAACACAGACACATTTAAAATGTCAGTAAAGCTCAGGCGACGAACAAGTGTCCCATCCATGTCGAAGTTATTGATATGATTTTCTCTTGTCGAGGACCACTGTTAGAAGGTTTCACGTACAGCTCTGAATGTTATAAACCCATAGGGGCCTGGGCCTCATATATTCCGCGTTTAATGGTTAATGCAGGCTCAAACCAACACCGATAGTCGATTGAATCAAAGGGAAGTCTTCCTTGTATTTTGAAAAATTTCATCGCAATTTTGGATTATTCTTTTCGTGAGGCAATTGATTTTGTACAACTGCGCCAAGAAACTACTTCTCCGATGTTTCACTTGAATATGGCTTGTTCCGGCTATCCTGCAAACAGTTTATGAATATTAATGAATATTTTATGAATATTATTTTATGAATATTATTTTATGAATATTTTTATGAATATTTTATGAAGATAATTCTTTCGTTTTTGTTGAGCGTGTGAGGTAGTCAGCGATGCTGAGACTCTCCGCCAGCTGAGATCTCTTGATGTAGTTCACCAATTAAAATATAAATGCTGTTTTCAAATTATAACAGGCCACTTAGTTTACCAAAAAGCGCAGAAAACGACGATTAATGTCGGGCGGAAAAATTATTTTATAGACCGTTAGTCACACGGATTTCCTAAGCAACAAAAAGAAGATTTAATTTTTTAAAAGATGATAATGTTGACTTATACACTAAAAGATCTCAGCGAGAAATTGTTAAAGAACCCAGGAAGTATATATCTCCTGGAAAAATATATTTTAGCCAACATATCGCCCTAATATACGCTGTAATTTGAGATATGCAGAGTTTTTGACAAGAAGACATTATGGAAGGAGACGTTTGGAAATAAAAGAGCATAAAATGACTTTTTTGCAATAATTAAAATTTAGAACGGTGATACCATGTAGAAAAGAAAGAAAATAGGATAAAATGGAAAAAAAATTATCTGGCGAATGAAAACCATATGCAAGATGTTGATTTTATTAACAGGAACCAAACGTGAAAGGCATATCTGATGAACTTCATTTGCGTATGCTAATTTCTAGTTTCTTTGTTTCGTTGACGTTTTTGTAGGTGAATTATTTTATTTCTCGAGTAAGTTGTTTTTATAGTTTTCACTGAGCCTCTCGCATCGATTGTCGGTCGAGAAAAGCTGAATATTGCCGAAGTGAATCCTTGAGAAGGCTGTGTGAATTGTGCAAAGACTTCTTACAAAAAGAAGACCATATGGCGGGAATTTCGATAGCTGTGTGAAGAAACAAGCTCATTTCTGAGGAAAAACACCTGAGTGTAATGGCTGAGAGGTATAAAAGGAATTAACATTTTCAAAAGTTCGCTTTTAAAGTCTAGGAAAACGCCACAAAAACATCACTTTTAAATTACCGTGTATTTTATTTGAACTTTCGGTATTCATACAAACGTATTCACTGTATAGATGAGCAACTACATTGGGTATCCAAAGACATGCTGCCAATACTATAAACATTCTCCATGTCAAACTTTAACGACGAAAACACCTCGTTAAATTAATGTCTCTGACAATTCGAAACGAATTCGTATATTCGAGCAATTGCATTGAGTATCCAAGCCTGCTGACAATACTGTAAACATTCGCGTTGTCAAACTTTAGAACAACAAGGCCTCGCCGAATGAACGTTTCACAAACGCTTCGCATAATTATAGAAGTTTGGCAAAATGTATGGTAACTGCCAGGGGTTTCAATATGGGAAAAATTATCGCAACTCTTCAACTGGTGAATCTGACTAAAGCTAAATTATTTTTAGGAAGTGATTCGTTTAAATATAATGTTTTACACTTACATGTTGTGTTCTTTTCTTTTGGTTGACAATTTTTATAAGATGTTTAAGATCGTATGAGGTTGCATCAGTTAAAAAAAAGCCTTCATGGACCTCACGATCTGATCTTCGCTTGTAACTGAATGAAAAGACTGTCTAGAAAAAAATCAAAGTTTTGGCAGAAACATTTCAAACCGAAGAATGTCGGTTTTTTTTGCAATGGGCAGAAACTAAATTTTATTATCGATAGATCTCTGAAGTATATGGCCAACAATTTCTAATTTTTTTTGGCCTAATGCACAGTTCCGAACTCACTCAAACGGACAAGGAAGATGGCAGAAAAACATATATGGAGATATGGCGAAGGAGACTGACAGAAACATACGAGCAGGGCAGCTTCCAGGAGTGCTGCAGGTAGAACTGAATATTTATCTGCTAAACGTGTTAATGACTCATGATCATTTTGAGGTGAATGATCGATAAGAAGCTCAAATGTATTCTGCTTTCATAGACAGACAATGTGGCCTCGCAACGTCAGTTTTGTTAAAGTGAATGAGTGAAAAGCCGAAAGTTATTTTAATCCAACAAAGTTTTCTGAAGAAGCCAAACGCTCTCTTTTGTTTTCATAGTATAACACTTTGTTTCAAATATAAGGTTTCAACGACCCAAGACCTATTGTTTGTGTCAAACGGAGTACCGTTGCAAGCAAAAAAAAACGCCATGTATATTTTATTCAAAATTTAGCCCAAGTCAGTGACTGAGGAGCTTTATGATGACATCCGGACGCCAATCATTTGCTAAAAGCCGCATCTTAAAGACTGTGAAAACATCACGATATCTTGAATAACTAGAAATTTTGGTTTTTTTTTCCCTCTAGTCAAGCAAAGTTTTTATCTCAGTTGATTCTTGCTAAACTCACATAAATTTTGACGGTCTAATTTGGGGCATAATTCTATTGTCAGAGAGCATAGAGCATAATGCTGGCATAAAGACTATCTTCTTAAAAATTATTGTTGATTATTCAACCATATTCATTGATCCTGAAGCGAACAAGGGTTTTAGTATAATTGCCTTTGAACTCTGTTTCAAATCCATTTTGTTGTTGAAACCATTCTGTTAAAATTGTTTTGATAACTCGTATATAGATAACTAACAGGCTCCAACTAGAATTTTACAGGTTTTTTAATTCAATCACAAAAAACTTCATGTTTCTTTTCAAATATATTACGCCAAACCAAACTTAGTTCACATGTAGTGTGCATCTTTTGTGCTCTTCAGAATTGTATTACCTTCTATCACTTTTATCACTTCTTGCATAAAATCGATAAAACACGTGGCAGCCATTTTGAAATTTAGTGCCCTTCCTAAAATCATCTCGAGCGAGGTGATTTTAGCGAGATATGACGGTACCCTTGACCAATAAGAACGAAATTTCCTTTTCTTTTGCATTTGAAATTTTTCAATCAAAGCATGTTACAAATTGAAACTGTGTTTTAAACACGGAGACTATCAAATGAATCCACATTGTTTTCCCTTTTCAAGCGTCCTTCGTCACTCATTGGCTGAAATGTTGACCGGGGTCACGTGGCAGGTCAGTATAGTCGTCCTGGTCTTAATTGAAGTCATCATCAACCTCGTCCTCATGCTGATGGAATTTAATGTTATCAAAGGTAATCAAAATTCTATTTATGATCGTTAAAAGACGGAGTGGAATCCTATTCGGTTTATAATCGTACGAGGATTAACAAAATCAGACGACCTGGAACTGAATCATCTCTTTGTTTGAAAATCTGACGACCGTAAAGCTCAGGCTTGATTTGCCATCACGAGAATAATTACAGACAAAATTCTGCTGACAGTAATTCCTGTTACCAGTCAAACAAAACTATGACAAAATTTGAGAAACACACCAGTATTGGTTGGAAGAATTTATTCATAAAAACTTAGCAGGCGACATTTTTATTTCCCACAAAAAATTAGTCCGGGGAGGAAATTAAATGACACTAATTATCCAACTATAAAGGCATAGCACGTTTACCGTCTTAATGACACTGTCCAATTACAACGATGACAAGCCAACTGTCTTGTTGAGATGTTAATCACGGTTAAGAATTTCTTGTTAGTTGCGATTAGTGAGTCTTACATAAGTAGCAGTCATTTTTTCAGAGACGTACGAAAGTTGTAGGGCTTACGTTGATGGGCCTACACCTTGGAATTCTTGGAAATGTTGTTTTAAGCATTTATGACTATGAAACCATATTAAATTCTGAGGTTCTACGGGATCCAACTCTAATTTCCATCGATAGTCACTTCGTATATACGGTTTCGTACCTAAGGGGATCCTGGCGGGGTATTTCCATGTTGCTGAACACGTGATAATTGGCAGGGGTACCTGTGGGCAATAAACCCATGATAGAAAGGAAAAGAAATAATTGGTTCTTTTCTTTCTTCAGATGAGACCCATGTGTCCCGGCATCTGCTTCATTTTGTTGGTCTGTCCATCCTTGCAATCTTCGTCTTTGAGGTACGTCTTCTTCAGAGCTGTCAATAAGTTAGCAGAAGGCAAATGAGATATAGTGGGTGGCCATTGATGAAGTTACGTGGATACCATGTTGTTCCGTCAGATTACGCGCGAGACTGGGAACTACTCTGTTAAAATGTTACAGGCGTGTCATGCAAATCCTACAAACCTTCGACCAGATTCTGAACTTGGGATGAATTCACACATTCAGACCTGACTGGTAAATCATGTTTTCAATTCCACTAACATGGAAATGCCTGTTCTTCAAATTTGTTTGAGTCTTCATCTACAGTTATGGTGACAAATGAGGCAAAAATAGCCGGTTAAGATGCCGGTTTTACAATGTTACAATACAATGTACAATAAAATACAATGTTCGTTATTTAACGAAGGTGACGTAATCAACCCAATGAGTTATCTACCTTACGGCCTTCACAACAAACCCACCATCCCACCCCAGGGGAGGACATCCATCACACAGTAATCTCGTGTGGGAAATTAACGTCTCTTACCTCAACCCTGCAGGAGACGGGACCTCCATTTATTCGTCCCTATCCGAGAAGACTAGAATATCTAATCATTTCTTGATGTTATAGAAAGGCAGCAAATTCTTCTCAATTATTTTAAGACCCTGAGTGTTAGTCCGGCCGGGGCTCGAACCCTCGACCTCCCGCACAACAGTCCAGCGGTCTATCCATTGAGCTAACCGCGAGGCGGTTACAAGCGATTTTAGCTGGCTCACGGGAGTGAATTGACAGCTCGAGCTCTGCCTCAATGGATAAGTTTACATATTTGAATCGCAGCGGAAGAAGATCTCCATCATTACGATAATGAATTTTACGTAAGGACAAAGAGTGATCTCCATTCTTCGGATTGGTTACATTTGCTCATTTTTGTAGGTTTTACTCAAGTTTTACGCGATGGGATGCGAGTATTTTTCGAAAGAGAAATTGGAGGTAGGTAAAGACCTCAACAAAAGAACGTGTTTTCCTTAATGATTATAACATAAACTTCAGTCATTTTAAAACCTAACTTTCTACTTCTTGTCTATAGTTATTTGATGCGTTTATCGTGGTATCGGCATTTGTAATCGAAGTAGTGTTGAGGTGAGTGTCTGCAATTAAGTGAACTCAGTTCCTGTTTGAGGTAATTTTTAAGAAACATCGTTCATTTTTCTACAATCCGTAAAATTTCTAGGGCCAAATTCAGTCAGTCCTCATCGTTAAGTCATTCTGTACTTATTTTTTTGCATTCGATGTTTCTTATTTTTTCTTCAGCGTTATCCGCGCAAAGAAGGCCTGGAAAGGCTTTGCTTTCATCATAGTTCTTCGACTGTGGCGAGTTTTAAGGGTCATTGTCAGTAAGTGTTGGGCGTTATTGTATATAATTTAGATAGCAGCAGACATTCGCAACTGAATCCGTATTGCCAGCATTTCCCCTCTAGCTTGCAGAATAAGCACAGGAACTAGTTATCAACTTCAATTGCCAGCGAGAACTTACTCAAGGGCTTGAATATTCCGCAAAATATAAAATTGTGAAAAAAATACCAAGTTTTTTTAGTTGTATGAATTTTAAATTTCCTCAACAATTATCCTTTCGAAGTCGTGTACACTTTCGAACTTAAAATTTTAAACTTCAATTTGAAGTTTGGCTCTTTACCGAGTTTTCTTGTTGAGCCAATCACAGAACTGCTTTGGATTGTTGCGAGGCTGCCCTGAAACCTCGACCCAAGGGGTTTCTGGGTCAGTTTGTAGAATGGCGGCCATCTTGAAACCGGCCACCATCTCGGAAAATAATGGGGAAAAAAAATCCCTGATGTCGGAGTTTTGCTGCCTTCTTATTCAAAAACCTTCCGGTTACTTGCCGAGAAAAAACTTGTATTTACTCTGACTTTTAGACCAATGCGAGTCAGAGTTATCGAAAACTTCTCAAGTACTTTTCAACTAACTTTCGGATTTCACGATTTCCTTTTTCTCCTCAGTGGTATTCACCTTCAGAGGAGAATTGTACGAATTAATTGAAGATGACGTTGATGCTCCCAAACAAGAAATCGAAGAAGAAAAAAAAGAGGCCGGGAAAAACAAAGATGAACAAAAACACTGAAGAGTTGAAGTCGAGTTCAAACGGAAAAAGGGTTGAAAATATAAATGAAATAAATATTTGCACAGCTACCGATTGCCCTGGGGTGCTTCGTTCTACTAATCTGAACGTCTTCAATGGGCTAGTTGTCTATAAAGAACGAGAGAATTCACAGCGCCCAGTTATAACTAGGGGAATAAACATTATCAACTGAGTTTATAACGTATATTGGGCACACTAAAGAGTAAACAAAGCTTAAGTTTCCAACGTAAAACCTTTGTCAGAGCGGACTGGATGAGGATGCTCACTTGATTTACATACATTAGTTGAATTTCAACAGACACGGTTACGTATTTTAATGTAAATCTAATCGTGATTTTGAAGGAACACAACGAAAAACTAAAAATGCGAGTAAAAATTCATTTATTGATCAAAAATAACAATTTAAACAGCTAACACTACTTCTGCTATCGCTATATAATCTATGATTGGGAAAATCAATATAAACGAGTTTCTTTCGTCCAATTAAAAGAAAATTCTACACAATATTTACAAGTCGTTTTTTTTTTTAAAAGCCAGCATTGCCACGCAAAATGGACCAAGTTTAGTTTAACAGCAAAGGATAACGCTGCAAAGTCGTTCGTTACCACTTTTGTACATTCAACTTCTTCTCCCACTAGATTCCTACACATTTGCCTGGGAAGCACGGTGACATCTTTCTTGTTTACGAAACAAGCAAAAAATCATGACTTGCCGACCATTTCAGTGCGTCACTGTTGCCTTCGAAACGTGTACACTGAGCGGTGATGCGAATGTACTTAAAATCATCTCTGATACAGCGCCAAATTTTCAATTTTCCGCAAGTTATTTCTTTCCTCGTCTCCGGGCCGCTAGGCGAACCCTTGATCTTGCTGTCAGATTACTGCCTCCCCCTTGCGGTGTGCTTGACGCCCCAAAGGCTGGTGCGGGTGTAGGTGCTGCAAAAGGACTTGCCGATGTGCCAACTGGGGCGAAGTTAAAACCCCCACTAGGCGCAGGTGTTGCAGGAACTGCCATGAAAATAGACAGTGATGAAAAACGTTACATTAGATTCTGCGCGACTGCGAAATTTTTATGAAGCTCAAAAAAAACAAATTAAAATAAAATTCCAATGCGACTTTCTACTACTAATAGGGGGAGGGGGGGGTAAGGAGGGAGAGAGAAAGAAAGATACTGACAGGAATGGAGGGGCAAGCGGTGAGACCTTTCAAAATAGGTTTACCCATTTACTTGCACTACGTGAAACTCACTTGTTCAACTGACAGCCTGCAATTTCTGATATATATTCCCTAAATGATAAATTTCTTAATTCTTACTGACTGTATGCTTGACAAGGTATTGACAGAGTGAGAAGAATTTTCACACAGATAACTGGTAAAAGGCAAAGGGTTAGAAGAACCGGTGCACCGTCTATCCTCCTGACTGGTTTGCTTGCCTAACCTACTACTGTCCAACCTAATTAAAAGCTTCAAAGAGAACAAATTTAGGAATTGAAGGACTTCATATCGAAGCCATTTATATTTCCTTGCTGATGAAAAATTTATTCCTCTTTTAAACAACTTCACCTAAATAACAGACGCGTGATTTTGATGTGGGAGTGCGGCCCTCAAAAATACACCTGCCACTGATATCCTTCCTTACGGCCTCACCTGTGACAAACCAAAGACAGGAACCCGAGAGCTCATGATATACTTACCTGCAGAAGGAGCTGTAGCTTGCCCAAACTGCCCGAAGCTATTGCTACTCACTGAAGACCCTATGAAAACAAGGCAACGAAACTTCAGTGCCAATACTTCTCGCGGGGTCGCTTACTAATTACTAACATAAACAATCTGTTTACAGACCTTCTATCTAACAAAAAGATTCCATTTTTCCGTCCGTCTCTTCAGAAATAGATCACAGATTTGGTAAAACAAACAAGCGGTACATGAGACGCAGCCTAGCGTATCACTACTGTTCTTACAACATTTTGACGTCATTTATGAACTATTACTGATTGTAAATATACGAAAATCATAGATGTGAACAGCGGTTAAGAAATGAATATCACAGCGATCTTCGCAGCGATGAACACTACTTAAGCAGTAGTGGAATAAGGTCCAGCACTTCCTGATAAATATCATGGCTTACTTTTTGTTTTAAGCTTTTCACTGCCTCTTCGTAATCGACGAGAGTTTTTATGAAGGAAAACACTATTCGATCTACTAATTCCATCTTTGGGCAAGAACTGCATCGTTGCTTTTGATTGGTTAACTTTAAACCCAAGCTTGTCTTTAAACAATATCCCGAAGTTTGGACGCTTCTAGGTTCTATGAAAGGCTGTAAGAGAGTCTTACCAAGCCTACCCCTCACAGTTTTGTAACGTTGAGCAGTACTACCAAATTTGGGCTAGGGCTACCAAATAAGGTGGTGAGCACGTGCGTGTGGAAAAGAGAACAAAAAGGTTGTGAGAGCGCAAGCTTATGGAAAGTTTTTCCATCGAATTTAGTGAGAGTTTCGTGAATTAGATTGAAGCGGAATAAACCAGGAGATTGTGTTATTGTTAGTTCTATGGGCTGTTTTATTGTTCGGCTCAAGGTTACGTTTTAAATGTTGTGGAAAAAAAAAAAGGGAAATAGTGAAACAAATTAATTCAAACAAGAGCAATGACTTTGTCCAGATCTTACCAAATTGGAATCCTCCTGTTTTGTTCGCAGCGCCAATGAAATTAAAACCACCGGATGTTGGGTTATTTGCCGTCGCATTCGAATTGAAACTGAATCCACCAGAAGAAGCCGCAGCATTCTGGGAGGGCGCTGTTCCAAAGGCATTCTGGGTACCAGCTTTGTCTCCAAACCCACCGAAAGGCGAACTGGAAGCGTTTTGCGACGTATTTGCAGCAAAAGTGAACGATTTCTGGTTAGAAGCTGCCCCGAAAGCACTTTGGGTAGTGTTTTGATTTGGTTGACCTCCGAAGCTAAACTGCGTCGATTGGGTGCCAAAAGCATTTTGGGTACCACTTTGATTTGGTTTCGGTCCAAATACATTTTGATTGGCCTGGTTTCCGAAGAGGTTTTGCGTCGTTTTCTGTTGTGAACCAAAAGCATTTTGCAAAGGCTGAGTACCAAAACCACTTTGAGAAGTCTTTTGAGTTGCGTTTAAGGAACTGTTAGCATTTTGCGCTCCAAACGCACTTGGAGTCACGTGTTGGTTTTGTTGCGGCGCTCCAAAGGCACTATGGGCAGGATTCGCTCTAAACGCACTCTGGGAAGCATTCTGGTTAGACGGCGCTCCAAAAGTATTTTGGGTCAACGGACTTTGTTTAGAATTCGTGCTATTTGAAGCTTGAGGTGCGTTTTGCAAAGGCTTGGCTCCAAAGCCACTCCCACTGAACGAGGAAACAAACGAAGTTTGACCTTGTTGTCCAGTTACAGACTGCATGTTGCCTACACCGAAAGTACCTCTGTTTTGGATTGTTGATGCAAGGGAATTCTGGGGCGCCACGGCGCTTTGACCAAATACATTTGTCGATGGAATCGCAGTTAGAACAGAGCTACTCTGTGTGGTCTTAGGTAGTGTTTGAAAAGGACTTTGAGATGCAGCAGTTATATTGCCATTTGCCAACGCTTCACGAGTTTTTGAGGTATTTTTTCCTAAAAAGAAAGAAGTTGAAGAATTCAAAGAGGTTGTGACCTGGGTATTTTGTGTTGATTTCTGACCAGAAACAGTTTGTGTACTATTAGAAGCTGAAAAATTGAATCCTGCTTGCACGTTCGAATTTGTTGTAGCAGTGGACAACGGCATCCCTGATACGTTCGATGAAGGAACTGTAGAGAAACTGAAACCTGCTTTTTGGGAAGTAATAATATTGGTGTCCAAAGTTGGTGGATTCGTTGATGCTAGCTTAGCAAAGGGTGACGCCCCAAATGGGGAAGATGATGAAAGCTGAAATCCTGAGGAAACCTGTCCTGTTGTAACAGTTGACGTTTGCGCTGGGTTTGCCTGTGACTGAGCAGCAGCAATTGATGAGCTTGTGGTACCAGTCTTCCCCTGTAGTGTAGAAGGATTTTTTAGTCCTTGACCTGTAAAAGCAGTCGAAGGTCCAACGATTTTCGACGATTTGGAAAACAAATCAACTCCTGGCCGCTGTTGGGATGATGGTAACGCGGGGAGTGTAGAACTTTGGGATTGCGTAGCACTGGCATTGCTGTGCACTGTGGGATTGGAACTAGAGACACTTGACGAAGGGACGCCCTGATTACCTGTGGTCCTTCGAGGATCTCCCAAACTAGGGACTGGGGTGATGAGGCTCTGGGCAGTTGTGGTAGTTATTGTTCCTCTCCTTGTCACAACACCAGCAGTGGGAACTTTGAATAACGAAGCTGAAGTGGAAGTAGCCTCAGCTGAAGAAACTGTTGTCGTATCTGACAAGATAACATAAACGACAATCCTTAATCATAAAGTAACTTGACGATAACAAACGATAATATCAACCATAATCCTAAGTTATAGTATTTTTTTCCATCTACTTTTAGGGTTTATAAAATAGACGCACCCATTCGAGTGGATAGTGAAAAGGAGAGGTCGTTAAGTTTATCATGTAGAGAGTGGAGTAGAAATGTGTCACGCAACGAAGGAGAACCAGGAATCATCCCCTCGACACGCACAGGGTGTTTGTGACAAAGGTATCAGTCACATGACATGTAACACAATAGATCTTGTACGCTAACAATGAGGTTGGAGAAGACAACTTGAGTTTCATGAAGTCATCAATTTCATAAGGATATAACTAAAATATGTCGTTCCTTAAATAAACTATTCAGCTGCAGAATTAAAACATTTTCTCTAGCTTTGCAATGGCCTCTCTAAGAGACCCGGGGGGAGCTTATCAATGCTCAGGCGGTTTCAAAGGTAGAGAGCTTATTGGAAAGAGGGGCTATATAAAGAGGGGTCATTAGAGTTATGAGTATTGCCCCCCCCCCGGAAAAAAGTGTAATTTTGATATTTTTTACCTGATTTTTCTTTTTCTTTCACTTCATCTTCATCATCATCATCATTGCCACCAAGCAGCTCATTAACCCGCTCCCAAGCTAGCTTGCGATCGATCTTAATTTGCTCCTGGTTGATTTTTCTCGATACAATTCTTCTTTGAGGCTATAAATACAGCAAAACAATTTTGTAAGTGAACCAAGCGCGAGAAAACACGGTTGACCAATTCGGCCCGGCCTCGCAGCCTTATTTCTGATACGGATTAGTAGAGTAGATAGAGCACCAAATATTTCTAGGCAGCAAGTCAATCACAAACCGCGTACCGGCCCTTAAGAGCGGGAAATAAATTTTACTACACCGAGGTATGTAGCGGTGTTACATAAATTCAATGTCATTTGTTTGAGACAGTGGCGCGAATATTTGTGAACCAATCGAAGGATGACATTAGACGTGTCACCCTGCGCCAAGTGCAGGAACGTTTTTCTGAATGAGTCAAAGCCCGCTGTTTTTGTTTAGCTTGTTCAACACTTTCAATTTAACAAAAAAAACATAAGTGATTTTAATACATGTCCCAAAACTTTGGTTTAAAAATACACCTAAAGAGACTTTTAAAAGTGAACCTCACCATCTCAGATTCTTCATTAGAAGCACAATACACTGGTGCAACCCTTCTTCTGGAATCGTCTTTGGATGCAAATCTTGGGACTGTAAATCGTTTCTGCACTTTCTTTGCCAGTGGCTTAAGTAAAGGGCTGACATCTTCTTTCAAATACTCAGTCTTTCTTCTACAAAAGAGATTAACAATGGAAACGAGCGTCAGTTGATATGCCACCTCCCGCCCGAAAAATTGCAAAACAAAAAAAAAAACAAATCCTGATGACAAAGACATGTAACCTGCAATAACCTAGCCAATTTAACAACGTTGTTATATTATTCGTGTTTAGTAATTAGTTATTATTAACCGAGCGGGAGGTCTTTATGGGAGAATCTTGACCGAGGTCGCCAGTACAGACCGAACGCAGTGAGGTCTGTACCAGCGACCGACGTCAAGATTCTCCCATACAGACGGACCTAGCTCGGTTAATAAGATGTTTATTATATGGCCGTGTCTTATATGCTAATTTTTCATATTCTTTGTACCTTTTTTTTTGTAGACTAGTCTAGATGCCGGTCTAGATGGGAAAATCCAGACCGCTTTCAATATTGATTTCAGCCAATCAAATTCGTGAATTCGGTAGTTCCCAGTCCTTGTCAGACACAGCCATATAATAATAAGCAATACAAACAGTTTAGAAGTCTACCAACCTTTTATCTTCCTCATTGTCTGTCATTGGTTCTGACTCCTTAGTCTTCTTTGACGTACTCTCGCTTTTGTCATCCTTTTTGAAGAAACAACATAACCGAATTTATTGAATAAAACAAGAACAGCCAAAATAAAGCAAGAAAATACAGTCATAACCCAAGAAAAAGTGTATTTATCATATGGCTGCCCAGCTAGCAGGCTCTCATTAATTAATTATTTTTAATTGTTATCGTTATCATTAATTAGTGCCGTGGCACGAGCGTTCTATCGCCTGTGTGAAAGTTTGAGGCTCGCAAAGCGAGCCGGTGGGAGGTCTGCGAGAGGTCTGGCACTGATACATGTAATTACCGTCCCAGATCCCTCGCGGACCTTTCCCGCGCTCACATTGCTTGCGGGCTCGAAACGCGCAGGCTCTGCCAATGTTATGGCAGCACGCAAACCACTGTATACTTTATGAAAGTGATTTCCACTTACACTAGTTTTTGTTGCATCTCTTTCCCCAGCTGCTTCTTTTCTTTTCCGTGAGGCAGAGTCATTTTGATTGTGTTCAGTGTCCATGGACTTGTCACCATAATCCCAGTTCTTATTCCTTTCTTTATCGGAGCCAACTTCCTCTTCCCCTGTATTTTCTGCACTTACTGCTATGTCTTCGCTCTGAGAATGATTAGTAAAACGTTACGAATGGGTTAGGAGAGAATGACAGTAGCCTTTTAGACAAACTAAACACGCCATTACTTGCTTCC